CTCTAACTATAGCCACTTGTTGTTTTCCAGCCAAATACATATAAAGAAATCACACTATCACGCTTTAATTCCACCACGAATAACATTTTTTCTCACCTAAATGCTTTTGTACGCTTGTAAACAATATAATGAGCTGTCACTGGAATAATTTTAACAGCTGTCGGATCAGTGGCTTAGAAATGACAGCAATTTGAAGTTGGTTTCAGTTTTTTCATCTCACCCTCTATATATACTTTATGGGTTCTTAGACGAATATTTAGGGATATTACAAGCGGAATGACAATGTTAATATACCCTCCTTTCAAGGTGGAGGGCGTAAAAAGATTTTCGGCCAGTAGGTAATCTGGGCTCATTATTTCAGAAATCGGTTTAGACTTAAATATGGTCCCACTAATTGGGCCATAATTCACACAATTCAAAAATTTGATGGCCGTATTTTTTTTGCCACTTTCAGCAATGACTACAATATATTCGTTGCATTACCAGTATCTTAATTCTATAAGATTTACAAAGCAAAATAACTTGCTTTCATCATACCATCATTACTTTTTAGCTTACTGGTAATGCAGACGATATATAGTTGTCAAAATCCTTTAAGCAAGCATCTTCAACATTTCATTGTGCCCGAATTTAGAGGGTAACCTCTTTTTTTCTGGAGTTAGAGAAATTTCTAACCCAAAGGGTTAATTAAAATAGTCCAACAATGTCGCTCGAATATACAATTATTTACACATATTGTTTTCTATTTGTCTTCCGTTTGTGTACTAGCATTGAAATCATTCTTCTGTTTGTTTTCGAAACAGACGCTCGGTTTTCTCTAAATAAAGAAAAGAAATTGTTGTAGCCTTGTAGCCCGCCAATTCAGTTAGTAGTCTGTCATATGTATTTCAAAGAACATATTTCCTTCCATCTGAGAATAGATATTTTTAGTGTAACACCTTTTACTTTGTCATAACAAGACAAAAAATGAAGCGGTGCATCTGATAGGAAGGTATACTGTTTGAATTGGTATCGCTGTAAGTAGTTAATTACATTTAGTTTACGTTTACAGTGCGAATAGTTCTGAAGTTTTGCTCAAAAGTTAAAACATCAATTTGTCTATAGGCCTGCGTTCGACAAACTCTCCCAGCCATCTTCGCGGTGAAGTTTGATCTCTGCAAAAATTTTATCCAAGGCTAGGGGGTCGACTCAAAAAAAAGAAAAAAAACAATCAAAAATCAGTAAAATAGTGCTAAATATGTGATCTCTAGTTTAGATCTCTAGAACTTAGGGATAATCTGTTCAGATTAAAATATGGCTCCCATATAAAACTTTGTCCGATTTCACGTTTATTGTGCACCAAATATGTAATGTATGCGAACATAAGATGTTTTTTTTTTCACTCATTGTCGAATTGTACTTAGAAGTAAGTATGCACTATAGCAATAAATATACAGGGTAAGATTAAACAACTGAAACCAACTTCAGACTGTTGTCATTTCTAAGCCACTCGTTCGACAGCTGTAAAAATTATTCCAGTCAGAGCTCAATATATTGTTTACAAGCGTACAAAAGCATTTTGGGAAGAATTTTCCAGAAAAAAAATATTCGTGATGGAATTCAAGCGTGAAAGTGTGATTTCTTTATATTTGGCTGGAAAACCACAAGTTTCTATCGTTAGAGCACTTCAGCATTTAAATGTAAATAAATCTTTTGTGTCTCGTACCATCGCTCGTTACCGTGATACTGGTAGCGTAGCCCGAGGACGGAAGGAAACAACAACATCAGCAGACATGGTTCGCAGTGGCTGAAAAATGCCTCGTGAGCTGAACATATCGCAATAGTCCATTCGGCAAATATTGAAAAATGACCTCAGGGTAAAGCCATTGAAATTCCAAAAAGTGCAAGAACTTACACCGCAACAGAAAGACTATAGATTCAAATGAGCTAAAGAATTGCTTCGCTTGGCAGAAAGTGGTGAACTGCCGAATTTGGTTTTCTGCGATGAGAAAATTTTGTTGTCCAGCAGTTTGTAAACAAACAAAATGGTTGTGTTTACTTGCAAAGAGGTCAGCTGCAAAAGGTGCACCTTCGGTTGGCCACCAGATCTCAAGCGCCGGTCATGGTGATGGTGTGGACAGCCATAACAGCCGATGGTCGCTCTCCGCTCGTATTAATCGACCGTGGCATCAGAATAAATGTCGAATATTATCGTGAAAATATTCTGGAGGGTGTTTTAAAGCCTCGCTACCCAAGAATGTTTACAAAATGAGGTTCTTCACTTCATTTCCAGCGCACAATGGCCACCAAAATCTCCGGCTCCAAACCGTTGCACTATTGTGTTTGGAGTAATTTGGAAAGCAAGGTCGGCACTAAACAATACCAAAGTGTTGATCACCACAAGCAAGCGCTTCGCCGGGAATGGGCCAAAATACCGCAGACCAACATTCGGGCGGCGTGCGACGGTTTTATTGGCCGTTTGAAGGCCATAATTCGTACCAAACGTGACCAATTTGAACAAATCTAAACTTATTCTAAAATTTGATGCTATTTCCGACATTTTAGCTTTCATTCAATAAAATTAAAAAAAAAAAAAATAAAATTTATGGCATTTGACTTTGTTGCAGTTTTTTATCTCACCCTGTGTATTCTTGTATAGGGTAAAAAGACGGTTTAGCGCAGTCCATCTGTTGTAGGAAGCTAAAATTTTGCACAGATCATTGCTTTGCCAACAGTTAGTTCAAGTTTGAAGGTGGTCGTATAGTCCCCATATAACGGTACCTCCCAATATTTTTATACCCTCCACCATACTATGGAGGGTATATTAACTTTGTCATTCCGTTTGTAACTCCTCGAAATACTCATATCAGACCCAACAAAGTATATATATTCTTGATCAGCGTAAAATTCTAAGTCGATTTAGCGATGTCCGTCTGTCTGTCTGTTGTAATCACGCTACCTTTCGAATGAATTGAGATAGGTGGCTAAAATTTTGCACACATGTTTATTTTTCCAGTAGGCAGGTTAAGTTCGTAAATGGGCCATGAAGGTCCACGTTTTCATATAGCCCCCATACAACGGTACCTCCCTATACTCGGTATTTTGATGATTTTAGCGACATTTTTCACGGGAATTGTTTCAAATTTGGTATTTGAAGTTCAAAATGGATACTACACTCTAAGACGGAAAATTATCCGTCCAGGTCCACGTCTTCCTATAGCCCCCATATAACGGTTCCTCCCGATATTCGGTATTTTGATGATTTTAGCGACATTATTCACGGGAATTGTTTCAAATTTGGTATTTGAAGTTCAAAATGGATACTACACCCTAAGACAGAAAATTGTCTGTGCAGGTCCACGTCTTCATATAGCCCCCATATAACGGTACCTCCCTATATTCGGTATTTTGATGATTTTAGCGACATTATTCACCGGAATTGTTTTAAAATTGGTATTTGAAGTTCGTTATGGGAACTACAGTCTGTGGCAGAAAATTGTCTGTGCGGGTCCAGGTCTTCGTATAGCCCCCATATAACGGTACCTCCCTATATTCGGTATTTTGATGATTTTAGCTACATTATTCACCGTTTATTTCAAGTTTCGAATTTGAATATGGTAGTGGCTTATGACAAACAATGCCTATGTATGTCCACGTCGTATAGACCCCAAAATAACGGCTATATTCGGTATTTTTAAAATTTTAACAGAATTTTTTAAGGATTTTATTTTTTGAAAATTTCCAAATTCGTTGCAAATGGTGGAGGGTATTAAAAGTTCGGCCCGGCCGAACTTACTGCTTTTTAACTTGTTTTTATTATTGTAGTCACATTTTCAATGGAATTGTTTAAAATTCTGCACGTGAAGTTCGTTTCGGATAGGTTATTTTTTTTAATAGGATAGTTTTTAGGACCCATATAATGATACTTTTGACTCAGACTAAAAATTGGGTATATAGGTCTACCGTTGCATATAGCTCTCATATAAAATTACTCCAAGATATTCGGTATTTTCATGAAATTGTTCGAATTTTTTATGGAATTGTGCTGAACTGTTTATAAACAACAAATTTGATTTGCAGACCGGCAGTTGATTTTCAACTTACACTGAAATAGGAACTCCGGAGGGAGCTTTTCATTTCATCAATTTCACAATCAACTCTCAGACTTAACTCTCTCGAAGCTTTTGTATTGGTAGAGGTTGGCTAATTAACAAAATGAACGACATTTGAGAGTACCGTTACATGGATGTATATGAAACAAACGTTTATATAATCTCCATAGTATTGTGAAGGGTACAAAATTATACAGTTTTTATTATAACAATTTAATTTATTTAATAAGTATTCTCAATGTAGGGTTTAATATGGTCGGTCCTTCCCTACTAAATCCAACTTTTTATTTCAAACAAATTATTTAAAATTCGAATTTAATGTTCAGCATGATCGTCCCTTGCTTTGTTTGTAATTCCTGCAAAGACAATGTTAATTCATCGTAAATTCTGGATTTTAACCAAACACAGCCAGAGTTCTGAAGCGAATGGTTAATAAATAAAAAAATAATCCATGAATTATGAGTTTGTTTTTAGGTCAAATTGCATTTTTTTATTTTTTATTTGTTTTGTAAGCCAAATATTTATATAAATTGTTCTCATTTTAATAAAAAAAATAATAATAAATGTAACTAAATGGTAAACTCCTTCATGCAGTGGAACTTCTTAAAGAAAGTCAAAATTACTGAGGTTATTATAATAAAAATTGAATACTTCTTTTGGGAAAATTTTTAAATGTAACAAAGAATTTTTAATATTTTTTAATGAGGCTGTAGAAATGTAAGAGTAAAGAGTATTTCCAAAAATACGATTTTTTTTTAGCAATTTCAATGATTTTCTTTAGTTTCTAAAACTCAATTATCTTGGATTATTTCACAATAAATATTTGTGTTAATTTCAATTATAAATTCTACTCTTTTCTTTACATACCACTACAATATTTCTATTCTCTCTCTCTCTCTCTCTTTCCAGAAAATGTGAAAAAGATATCCAAACACGCCCTGGAACCGATACCAAAGAATTATTATAGTTAAGTGATAAGCCTAAAAGTTGTGATAAATCTGTGGCGCCCAATGTCACCAATGCGAAAACAATAACTAAGTTAAGATTAAATTTAGTATTTTAACAACAACCAAAGGAAACAATAGCAACAACAAAAACCACACAAATGACTGCCAACGGTTTACTTGGGCGGACAATTGTTCATGATGGTAAGTAAGTCCATGAAATTTGTTTACAACCTATAGTAACTCGATTCTCTTTTCTATTTCTAGGCACACGCTCTAATCGTCGCTCCTTAGCCTCCCTTATTGTGGGTCTGGTGGTGGGATTTTGTTTGGCCGAACTTTTCGTATTATCCACACCGGATAAACCAGAATGGCTACTCTATGCCGGTCATCAACATGGTGACATCAATGATGATCCCCATGCCAGTCATGACCTCATGGATGTTGCTGGGCCAGAAATGGATATTGGTAGTCATCAGCATGCCCACGAAAATAATTCAGTGGCACAAAAGTTGTACAATGAAGTTCGCGTCCTCTGTTGGATAATGACAAATCCGAAAAATCATCAGACCAAAGCGAGACATGTCAAACGAACGTGGGGCAAGCGGTGCAATAAACTATTATTTATGTCGTCGGCAGAGGATGCGGAATTGGGTACAGTGGCTCTGCCCGTTGCCGAGGGTCGCAACAATTTGTGGGCCAAAACAAAGGCGGCCTATCGTTACATCTATGAAAATCACATGGATGATGCAGATTGGTTCTTTAAGGCCGACGACGATACTTATACCATAGTGGAGAATATGCGTTTTCTACTCTATCCATATTCACCGGAGACGCCCATATATTTTGGATGTCGATTTAAACCGTTTGTGAAACAGGTGATACATTATCATTGCCTATGCCTTAAAACTTGTTTTAATAAATCTGATTTTCTTTTGACAGGGCTACATGTCAGGTGGTGCCGGCTATGTGTTGAGCAAAGAAGCTGTACGACGTTTTGTTGAGAAAGCCATGCCCAATTCTAAAATGTGCAGTCCCAAAAACAGTGGTGCCGAAGATGTTGAAATCGGCAAGTGTTTGGAAAAGGTTAATGTGATCGCAGGCGATTCCAGAGATTCCCATGCTCGAGGCCGATTCTTTCCATTTGTACCGGAACATCATTTAATACCAAATCATACGGATAAGAAATTTTGGTATTGGCAGTATATCTACTATAAAACAGATGAGGTAAATATATAGTGAGGAACATAAAGACACATTATCCGATGCTCATATACAGAGTGAGATAGAAAAAGTGCAACAAAGTCAAACGCCATAATGTTTACATTTTTTAAAAATTTTATTGAATGAAAGCAACAAATGTCGGAAATAGCATCAAATTTTAGAATAAGTTTAGATTTTTTCGAATTGGTCACGAATTTGAAGTGATCGACACTTTGGTATCTTTTAGTGCCAACCTTGCTTTCCAAAATACTCCAGACACAATAGTCCAACGGCATGGTATCCGGCGATTTTGGTGGCCATTGTACGCTGGAAATGAAGTGCGGAACCTCATTTTGTAACCCTTCTTGGGTGGCGCGTGCAGAGTGCGATGGTGCTGAGTACTGTTGGAAAGTCCAAGGTCGGCGATGAAAACGTTTGCGCGCCCAAGGCTTTAATACACCCTGCAGAATATTTTCACGATAATATTCGGCATGTATTCTGATGCCAGGGTCGATTAATACGAGTGGATAGCGACCATCGGCTGTTGTGGCGGCCCACACCATCATCATTGGCGGCGCTTGAGTTCTGGTGGCCAACCGAAGGTGCACATTTTCAGCTGACCTCTTTGGCGATCATTTTGTTTGTTCACAAACTGCTGGATAACGAATGCTTTCTCATCGGAGAAAACTAAATTCCGCAATTCACCACTTTCGGCCTAGCGAAGTACCTCCTTAGCTCTTATGAGTCTATTTTCTTTCTGTGCGTTGTAAGTTCTTGCACTTTTTGGAATTTCTGTTGTAAACAATAGAATGAGCTGTCACTGGAATAATTTTAACAGCTGTCGGACTAGTGGCTTAGAAACGACACCAGTCTGAAATTGGTGGCAGTTTTTTCACCTCACCTTGTATACTTTATTTTTTTTTATCTAAAATGAATATTTTAATAAGTTACGGATGGTACAGGGTTGCCCATATTCGACGGACCCATCTGGCAACGCCATAACTTTTGACAGAGATGTCACATCGCTTAATGACATACCGCGTTTGAAGCGTCAGACCAAGCAGATTTTTACCATGAACCAATACACGCCACGAGAGAGCTCTGAAATGTACATTCAACAGAAGAAGTCAATTGTGAAAACTCAACGTGCTTTTAAAACATTAAAAAATGTGAGAAGTGCGCCTTCTAAGAACACCATTAAGCGTTTATACGGTTGACAGGTCCCCAAGTGTTGAGAGGTCCCCAAGAACATCCCAAAAACGCCGTTCTCAGTAGTTGGGCATGGCTCGGTCCACTTTACAACGGATTATTCGCATTGATTTGCATTTGTACAAAATTCAATTGACGCAAAGAATGTTGCCTGCGGACAAGCCTCGTGGATTGGAATGGGCCCAAAGGTCCATCGAATATGGGCAACCCTGTATATAATTAAATAATAATAACCACCTTATTCTTGGCATAGTCTATTTGTAAACTTTGTTATTAATCCTCTTCTTTTTTTCTTCCAGGGTCTTGATTGCTGTTCGGATCATGCAATTTCCTTCCACTATGTCACCCCTAACCAGATGTATGTCCTAGACTATTTAATATATCATTTGCGACCGTATGGTATCATCAATGCACCCGAAGCATTGCCGGAAAAATTAAAAGTTGGCGAAACTGAGCCACCACCTGTAGCCACATCGGATACTGGTGGAGTGGGGGCAACATAAGTTATCAAAACATAAAACATGAAAAAAGTTCTTTAGTTATATAAAGATATAAACTATATGTAATCGAAAATCAAAAGCCGTTGTATATACAGATAATTTATGCATATATATTTAATTGGAATACGTTAGTATAACATGGGCTTAAAGGTTCCGGACTCTGTAACAAGAAATATGTTAGTAATAAAAGTATGTATTTTTTAATTTTTATTTTCAAAATTTTTTGTACGATGTGCATGTTTGTTTTGTTTTTTTTTTTAATAAGTAGAGTCGTTGCTAGCACAAATTATATGAAGTCCCTAAATTGATGATAAAAATAACTATCTTCGCTGAAGATAATTAAAAAAGTAAAATAGTCCTTGACCTTTTAGCCCATGTTAAATTCTTACATACATACCTACAATAATCCGAAATATTTTGCCATATGATAATTTTTAATTTAAAATTAATTATCTACGTATATATAGTTAGTATTTCTTGTACGCAATCCTCAGTCATAAAACATACATATATGTAATGAAATATTTTTATTATTATTTTATGTTAATTAGTTCAATTCGTTTTGAGAATTGGTTTTTAGTTAAAACAAACTACTTTTCTACAAAAGACATGACAAAAAATACGTAATAATAACTTTGAATTACATTATTATTTTATTTTTTGTTAATTTTTATATAATTTTTTATTTTGTAAGAACATCTTTATATGTGATCACTTTATTTTCAAAAAACTCAAATTGTATTAAAGCACAAAGAACTAATGCTTCTATATTTTTTGTTTTCAATTCGTTTAAAGTTCTCGCATTTATAGTTTTTATATATAGAACGTGTGAATATATTATTGAAAAAAAAAAAAAAAAAAACATACATAAATATATGCTTAATAACTTTTTTAAATCCAATATTTTGTGTATCATTAATGCAAGCTTTACTTTCAAATATTTGTACAAAGAAGTAAAATTATTCGTGTTTGTCGATCTTCAGCGTAAAATTCTAAGACGATCTAGCGATGTCCGTCTGTCTGTCTCTCCGTATGTCTGTTGTAATCATGCTATCTTTGGAACGAATTGAGATAGAAGGCTAAAATTTTGCATACATGCATAGTTTATTAGTAGGCAGGTTGAGTTCGTAAATGGGCCACGTTTTCGTATAGCCCCCACATAACGGTACCTTTCGATATTCGGTATTTTCATGATTTAAGTGACATTATTTATCGGAATAATTTCAAACTTCGTAGTTGAAGTTCGTATTGGATACTACAGCCTAGGACGAACATTTCTCTATGCAGGTCCACTATTCGTATAGTCTCCATATAACAGTTTTCATTTAAGTGGTAGTTTCCGGAAGTTTTTTTTTTTTTGACATTTTTCAAGTTCCTTCCTAATGGTGGGGGTACTGAAATTCGACCAGGCCCAGCCGAACCAGCAGCAATAGATGGGGGTGGACTCCCATTCATACTGTAATTGTTTACTACCTCAACAACTTGATCAGTATGAATACTATTCAGACTCGCTTGATAGGCTTCATGATCTAGGGGCTCTCTTATGTCGCTGGACCTCTCTCTCTAGATCATGCAGGTCCTTCCTGGCACGCCTGGGTGGGGGAGTTTTGTCCATCATATGGTAGTTAGGATGACTCCCACTATAAAACCCAAGCAGGTACTGCAACGAAAGCATATGATTATGCTGACGTAAGGGAAGAACCTTCTTCTGCTCATGTAAATTGTCCACAGGAGTCATGAGAAGGAACCCTGTTGCAGTTCTCAGGACGGCATTCTGGCAGGTCTGAATACTTTTCCACTGCCTTGCACTTGTATTCGTCGACAACACTGGGGTCGCATAGCTAACCACAGACCGACATATCGCTGTATAAGAGGTCGACAAGGTTTCCATATCCGCACCCATAGTGCTGCCGGATAGCGTCTTGAGTACTTTGTTCCTACTTTTCAATTTATGGCAGATAGCTGTGGCTTGCGCGGGAGAATTGAACATACTATCGAATGTCACCCCAAAGATTTTGGGGTAGTTAGTGGTCGAAATTATGTGCCCCTCGACCTGCACATTCAGCTTTGTTCTCATCTCCACAGTCCATGTGGTAAATAGTGTGGCCGTTGATTTAGTGGCGGTTTTTTTCATATTCCTCGAATGGAAGAGGGCGGCAAGCTCCGCGAGATAGCGAGATCTCGATGACGTCAAGAGGGCGCGGAATTCCGGATAGGTAGAGGTTAAAGAGTTCATGTTCATGTATACATGTTCGTGTTTGTCGACTTATTAGTTGAATACTTCAATGAGTCGATAAAGAACTGGGACTCTTTTTTTGAAGAAATCTTGCAACCACACTTCTAGTAACCCCGCACATAGCGCTCCGTCAGTGCATATACTAATACAGTTCTCCCATTCCAATCCTTTTCCTTTTATAATGGAATCAATGAAACTTAAAATTGGCTTACGGAACAAAATATCTTCCTGTTCATTTTCATGCCGCATATAACGCCCAAAAACAAGTACTTGAGACAGGCTTCGAACGTCGGTAGACTCATGTAGTTGTACAGTTCAGTATTTACCACTATCTTCACTTTGTAACATATCATCCTTTACCCACAAATAAGGTCCTAATGCGTCACAAATTTCGGTGCCCAGTGGTTTGCAACCCATACTTCGGGAAATACTGTTGTACATGGTGAGTTTCTAACGAGACCGAAGCCTAAAAATATGCTTTAGATTGTATTCTATGGTATTATTCAGGGATATTTTAATAAACTTGGTAATAAAGTAGGGTCTTGTTTTTTCAAAAATTCTAATAACAAATTCATAAATGGGTTTTGTTTATTTTAACAATTTTTTATACCCAACACAACACTGTGGTACAGGGTGTTATGCCTTTGTGCATTTGTTTGTAACATACAGAAAGAAACGATGAAAGATTATCATGATCATAAAATCACATCAGAGTCGATCTGTCCATTTATTTTTGTAAACGAGGTACAGGTCGCATTTATTGTCTGATTGAGTTGTAGTTTTCGACAAATCATTTGTTTTGACCAAGGACGAGTGCTAATGAAATTGGTGACAATTGGATTTCAGAAACATTGTGCACCAAATGCATAATATCTGTGAGAATCAAATAAATTTTATCTCAATCGTTTACACCAAGTTCAGACCAAAATTATGTCTGGCTATTGTGGTGATAATCGGTTCAGATTTAAATATACCACAAATATATATCTTCATCCGATTTCAATATGTGTAATATTCCTTGAAATGCGATGGATTTCGGCACATCCGATCGAATTTAGCCCAGAATGAAGTACATCAAATCTGGGAAAAAACGGTTCAGATATAGCTCCCATATTTATGTTTAATCTTATACCATATATATGTTTTATCACATTGATCCAATATACAATGTTTTTCGGTGGGAGAGGTACAAATGCTTCTTTCAAATTTGGTACTCATTTCTTGGTAATCAGAAAATTACTTTTTATGCTTTGTAATTTTCAAGAAATAACCCATTATTTTCTACCTAATGGGATTGCAGGAGATAGTTTGTTCACATTACTTTTTAATGGGATATTTGGTCCTTACAGCTTCTAAGTTGTTGTTAAGCACCGATAACTTAAACTTTATAATTAACTAAACACTTATGTTTATTTATAGAACTAGCAAGTGCCCGCTACTTCGTCCCCTTACAATTTTCTTTTCTTTCCAAAGTGTTAGTCAAAAGTTCTCAATTTGTTCAGTTTGATATAATTTCTTAATCAAAACATCATACTTTGTACTAATTTTTTTCCAAGGATTAATGTTTACCGTGTACACCAAAAACTATTCAAAAACTTTCATTTTTAAGTTTATGGAGGAGGATATTAGTAAACACATTGTACAACGGATCCTCATCGATTTTTTCTATCCAAAACCATTGTACCATTTAGTACTTTTTAAAGAATTATAGTGCGCATTAGGTACGGTTCACAAGTATTAGTATTAGATTTCAGGAAATTAACTCTTTAATTTCCCCCATTACCAATACCACATTTCAGAATTCCATCACATTTTGTGACATTTTGCACTTTTCGTACGTTCATAGTACAAATTTCCAAAATTTTCTATTCTTCACTTTATTATATTCTATTCCTTCACCAAATATGAAATTTAGTATTATTAAGAAATTTTCTTACAATGATAGTATGTTTCCAAAACCACCTCCATACCTCAATTCCCTATCCCTTCATCCAATACTAAATTTAGTACCACTTTAAAATTTTCGAACAGGACCACCTCCATATCTTAACCACAGATATCAACAGTGACATCCACAACAAATTTCAGGATTCCAGCTCTATCACTTCACCCAATGCTAACTTTAGTACCATTTAGTACTTTAAATTCAATTATAGTACATATTTTCAAAACTACCTCAATATCTCAATCCCAGATATCAACAGAGACATCAATATCACATTTGAGGATTCCAGTAATATCCCTTCACCCAATACCAAATTTAGTATCATTTAGTACTTTCGTACAATTATAGTACACATTTCCGAAACCATCTCATTCCCTCCACCCTAGAGTTGCCACGATATAAAATTTCAGAATTCCATCTCTATCCTAACAACCAACGCCACATTTTGTGGCACTTTGCACTTTTCGTTCGTCCATAGATAGCATTTCCAAAGCCACCACATTGACATCCATATCAAATTTTAAGATGTCAGGTCTACTACCAAATTTAGTGATATTTAGTACTTTTCGTACAATTATGTATAATACATTTCCAAAATACCTCCACATCCCAATTCAGATACTAACAGAGACATCAGCATCAATATACCTTCATCCAAATCCAAATTTCGCAAGATTATATACTTTTCGTACAATTATAGTACACATTTCCAAAACCTCCTCCAAATATCAAGGCTACACATGAACAGTGACCCTAAGATCAAATTTCAGTTTTCAGGCACTATGTTCGCCCAATACCAAATTGCATCAAATATAGTACTACTTAAGACTTTTGGTGCACTTGTAGTACATATCCTACCACCAACAGGGACCCCAATACAAAGTTTCACAATTCCACCTTCCGTTCACTCTAAACCAAACTGTTCCAAATTTAATACCATTTACATATTTACAAAATTTAATACCATTTTTATACCCCACATCACAAGGTGGTCAGGGTATCATGTCTTTGTGCATTTGTTTGTAACAGGCAAAAGGAAACGAGATAGACCCATAGTTCCTTTTGATGATCTGCATAGAATCACATTCTGAGTCGATTTATGCATGTCCGTCTGTCCATGTATTTTTGTAAACAAAGTACAGTTCGCATTTATTGCCCTATCCAGATGAAATTTTGCACAAATCATTTCTATGGTCCAAGGACGAACCCTATTTGAAATTGGAGATAATCGGTCAAAATTTAGATATAGCTCCCATATATATCTTCGTCCGATTTGCCTTTTATTGTGCACCAAACGTGTAATATCAGCCCAAATAGTATGGAATTGTGCACATACAACCAAATTAGGCCTGAAAATAAGTATGCCAAATTTGATCGAAATCGGTTCAGATTTGGATATAGCTCCCATATATATTTTTCATCCGATTTGTTATTTTTGTCCTCCTCAGCTGTAAAATGCACTCTGTGACAACAATATTTGAGGAGATATATCAAATACAGCTCCGAAATACATTTGCTAAATTTTATCGAGATCGGTTCAGATTTGGATATAGCTCCCATATATAACTTCGTCCGATTTACCTTTTATTGTGCACCAAACGTTTAATATTTGTCCAAATGGGATGGAATTTGGTACTTACAACGAATTGAGTCTAGAAGCTAGTATGTCAAATTTGGTGAAGATCGGTTCAGATATAGCTATAGCTCCCATATATACTGTTCATCCGGTTTGTTATATTTGTTACCCACAGCCGTAATATGCACTCCGTAACAACGATATTCAGGGAAATATATCGAATACAGATCAAAAATATCTTTGCCAAATTTTATCGAGATCGGTTCCGATTTGGATATAGCTTCCACATATATCTTTATCTGATTTCAAAATAATTGTGCACCAAATGGGCAATACAAGTCCGAATTTAAAATATACAAATGCTTTGGCATATTTAGCCCTTCGAACTTTAAATTATAATTATAATCATGGCATGTATGATTGAATTCATTCATTCATAACTCCTTGAAGAGTTCACTTAACAACTCTTAGTGCGCGAGGAATGACTGCACTCACTAAGAAGGGAGATCATATTACTCTGTACTTACACCGGAAATGTTTTCATGAAACGCGTAATATAGTTTGTAAATTACTTCAATTATACGTTAAATTAATTTATTAAACAATTTCTTTACACATAAAAAATCAGACTTAGAAAAATATCTAAACTAGGAACTGAAATTACCACTATTTACACATATTGTTTTAGTATTTGTTCACGTTTCTGTTTGCATTCCCATCAAAAATAACTCTTTTTGTTTATCTACGAAACAGACACTTGTTGTACAGACACACGGCCAGTAGTCATGTCGTATGTATTTGAAAATAAAAACAAATTTCCTTCCAATTTGGAATAGACATCTCTTGTACCACCTGTTTGTTTTTGAAAAAATGGAGCAAGGCATCTGATAGTTCAAACAACACATTTCCTTTCAACTTCGAACAGCTATTTTTTGTGTCACCATCTCATTGTTTTGTAGAATGAAGCAGCACATCTGACTGGAAGATATTTAGGAATTGAGCTTCGTACGGTTCGAATCGGTATCGCTGCAATTTGTAAATTGAAAAAATTGAAAAAAAAAAAAAATAATAATAAAAATTCAAATAATGTGTGAATGTTTATTAAATCTACCTTTGATGGTGAAAAAGAATTTGTGAAATTTCAAATCGGTGCATTATTTAAATGTGTAACCATTCGTCTCAAATTTAAATGCTGATTAGTTGAAACTTGTCTATTTGGAATATTAAATATCTGAGGATTTGATTGACTGAGAGAAAGTCAGAATCGGAACCGGGCTATTGTATTGTTTAAGTGATACAAAATCGTATCTGAAGATGATTAATTTGCTTGAATGAAAAATTAAAATGAAGTTTCTTCCATGTTTCACAGAAATTAAATAAAGTTTATATCGCAAAGCAACCTAAATAGAAGCAAGATCCTAACCATTTTTGGAATTATCGAATTAAGATTCTATGGAATACGTGCATTTCAGGTATATAGTGACATCGGCAATATTACTCACAACAATATGAAGATTATTTTTGGTCGAACAAGAGACTCAACTAAGGGAACTTTTTGGTCCCTCTTTTAAAAACATCATTATTTCTTATGAAATTCTACTACAGGTCCCAGAATACATCAAAATCTTATATTCGCCAGGAATTCATAAATATTATTTAAACATTTTAGGGTTAAAACCGCATATCATGTTAGTTTATGAACAATTCTCATAAAAATCAACGTTGTAGAAGGATGACATCGAACACAAAAATATTCTTGATTTGAATGTAGTTGTCGGACATCTCTTGTACCATCTGTGATCAAAAAATCCATCACTAAAACAAAAAAAAAAAAAAAAGACATTAAAGAAAGTCTTAAAGTCGGACGGGGCCGACTTTATGATACCCTACACCACTTTGCTAATTTAGTAGAGCTCCGCATAACAATTAAAAGTTTTTATGGGAGAATTCAATCATACACTAATAAAAATAATATAAAATATAAATAAATAAATAATAAAAATTCAAATAATGTGTGAATGTTTATTAAATCTACCTTTGATGGTGAAAAAGAATTTGTGAAATTTCAAATCGGTGCATTATTTAAATGTGTAACCATTCGTCTCAAATTTAAATGCTGATTAGTTGAAACTTGTCTATTTGGAATATTAAATATCTGAGGATTTGATTGACTGAGAGAAAGTCAGAATCGGAACCGGGCTATTGTATTGTTTAAGTGATACAAAATCGTATCTGAAGATGATTAATTTGCTTGAATGAAAAATTAAAATGAAGTTTCTTCCATGTTTCACAGAAATTAAATAAAGTTTATATCGCAAAGCAACCTAAATAGAAGCAAGATCCTAACCATTTTTGGAATTATCGAATTAAGATTCTATGGAATACGTGCATTTCAGGTATATAGTGACATCGGCAATATTACTCACAACAATATGAAGATTATTTTTGGTCGAACAAGAGACTCAACTAAGGGAACTTTTTGGTCCCTCTTTTAAAAACATCATTATTTCTTATGAAATTCTACTACAGGTCCCAGAATACATCAAAATCTTATATTCGCCAGGAATTCATAAATATTATTTAAACATTTTAGGGTTAAAACCGCATATCATGTTAGTTTATGAACAATTCTCATAAAAATCAACGTTGTAGAAGGATGACATCGAACACAAAAATATTCTTGATTTGAATGTAGTTGTCGGACATCTCTTGTACCATCTGTGATCAAAAAATCCATCACTAAAACAAAAAAAAAAAAAAAGACATTAAAGAAAGTCTTAAAGTCGGACGGGGCCGACTTTATGATACCCTACACCACTTTGCTAATTTAGTAGAGCTCCGCATAACAATTAAAAGTTTTTATGGGAGAATTCAATCATACACTAATCATAGCGTGTATGATTGAATTCTCCCATAAAAACTTTTAATTGTTATGCGGAGCTCTACTAAATTATAACTTAAATTTAAATAATTTAAATATGCCGAAGCATTTGTATCTTTTAAATTCGGACTTGTATTGCCCATTTGGTGCTCAATTAATTTCAAATCGGATAAAAATATATATGGCAGCTATATCCAAATCGGAACCGATCTTGATAAAATTTGGCAAAGATATTTCTGAGCTGTATTTGATATATTTCCCTGAATATCGTTGTTATGGAGTGCATATTACGGCTGTGGGTAACAAATATAACAAATCTGATGGACAGTATATATGGGAGCTATAGCTATATCTGAACCATTCTTCACCAAATTTGACATACTAGTTTCTAGACTCAATTCGGTCGTAAGTGCCAAATTTCCTTTTGCCTGTTACAAACAAATGCACAAAGACATAATACCCTGACCACCTTGTGGTGTAGGGTATAATGACCATCTTGTGGTGTAGGGTATAAACAAGAATTTAAAAAGCAGTAAGTTCGACCGGGACTAACTTTGAATACCTTCCACCATTTTGAACGAATCTGGTCATTTTCAAATAATAAAATCCGTTAAAATCTTAATAATACCGAATACTGCCGTTTTATTGAGGTCTATACGACGTGGACCTATGGCTTATAAGCCATTACCATATTCAAATTCGAAACTTGAAATAAACGGTGATTAATGTAGCTAAAATCATCAAAATACCCTTTATAGGCCGGTACGGTTATATCAGAGCTATACGAAGACCTGGACCTGCATAGAGCAGCTTCCATAACGAACTTCAAATACGACATCTCAAACAATTTCGGTGAGTATTGTACCTAAAATTGTCAAAATACCGAATATAGCGGTTATATTGGGCTCTATACGAAGGCGTGGACCTGTATAAGCAATTTTTTGTCATAGGCTATAGTTGGTGCTTATTTCGCTTTCTGTGAGCTTGAACCCTATGTGGGGGGAGGTACCAGAAGGAATGGTCCGATCTCTACCATCTTTATAACAGATCTTGTGTTGATAAAAATATTCAGATATACCAAGTGTGAATAGAAACGGATGTTAATTTCGCGTTTTATGAGCTTCGTGGATATTCAAAATTTTGCCCCTTTGTGAGGGAGGTATCAGAAGGGTGGGCCGATATTGTTCTTTTTCGCACCTGACCTAGAACTGATGCAAATAATAGGATTTGCAAAGTTGGAACAAATCGGTTCGTAATTTCTCTTTCTGTGCAATATAATATTTTCTTTGAAATTTTCGACATTTTGTGGGGGAGGAACCAGAAGGAGTGAACCGATATTACCCATTTCCGAACTCGATCGAAGTTTGACAAAAATATTACGATGTACCAATTTTGGACCAAATCTGATACTCCCTTCGAGAGTTATCGTGCACACCAGCCAGACAGACAGACGGACGGATATCGCTAGATCGACTCCAAATGTCCTGAAACGGATTTGGTCCAAAGAGACCTAGGCTCTAATGTTGATTAAAAATGCTGAAAAAAATGTCATCTTTACCTTAAATGGGGCCTATTCATACAGCATGGACATATCTAGACAATGCTCTTCTAGGGGATAACGTACTCACAAGGAACTTCTTGGGAGAAATTTCAGTCAATTCCGTTGAAAAATGTGGCTAAAATCATCAAAATACCGAATATAAGTGGGTACCGTTATATGGGGGCTATACGACAAAAGACAGATTTGTGCAACATTTTAGCTTCCTATCCTAATTCTTTTTGATTGAAGCGTGATTACAACAGACGGACAGGCCTAAATCGTCTTAGAATTTTACGTTGATCAAGAATTTATATCTAAAATTGTAATTTCGGAATGACGAACTCTATGAAAACTGTTGAAAACATTTCGTTATAGAAGAGTCGATATAAAGTTTCAAGAGCAAAAGTAAATTAAAAGTATATTTAAGATTTTTGGTCAAAATAAATGATTGGATTTCGATCCATGGGAAAATATTTCTTATTCTTTATTCTACAATACAATTTTCGCATTTCAATTGCGGTGATACCATCTCTGAAACCAATACAAAGTGACAGTATTGGAAAACGTATTTGAGTGTCGAAATGATTGGTACAATTCCAATAATTTCTCATAAATCATTGTAGAATTTTCAAAATAAAAATTCTTGTGTTGCAAAATTGAAACGAGTTTTGAAATTGAATATCAAGACGAGAATATCTAAAAAAAACTAGTAAAAAGGCAGTACCCTCCACTATTTGGAACGAATTTGAAAATTTTCAAGAAAATAACATTCGCCAAAAATTCTGTTAAAATCTTTAAAATACCGAATATAGCCGTTATATTGAGGGCTCCATAGGCAACTTTTGTCATAAGCAATTACAATATTCAAATACGAAATTTGAAGAAAATCGGTGAATAATCTCGCTAAAATCATCAAAATACTGAATATCGGGAGGTCCCGCTATATGAGGCTTTACTAAACATAAAATCAAATTTTCCAAAAATCCACATTCCAATTTTTTTCCTACCTTTATTTCAAATAAATACCGAAAAATAGAAATGTTATTAGAATGAAAGCGTGATAAATCAAAACCCCCAGATATTATTAATTCAAAATTATTATCTCAAAAACAATCTCACACAAATGACTGCCGGCGGTTTACTGCGTAGATCTATATTTTACTATGGTAAGTCCTTGAGATTTTCTAAATTACCTAAATTATAGAAACTTATTGGGTACTGTTTTTTCCTACTATAGATACACGATCAAATCGTCGCTCCATTGCCTATCTTATTGTGGGTCTGGTGATGGGATTTTTTTTGAATGGCCTCATTACATTTAACACTTCGAAAAAACCCGCATGGATTCACCACACCAATCATAATCGAATAGTTTTAGCTGATACAGGAAAAGATGTTGATAGACATCAACGCTCGCATGACAACAATTCAGTGGCACAAAAATTATACAACGAAGTTCGTGTCCTCTGTTGGATAATGACCAATCCGAATAATCATCACACCAAAGCCAGGCATGTCCAGCAAACATGGGGCAAGCGATGCAATAAACTATTATTTATGTCGTCGACAGAGGATGCGGAATTGGTTACAATTGCCCTGCCCGTCGCCGAGGGTCGCAACAATTTGTGGGCCAAAACAAAGGCAGCCTTTCGTTACATCTATGAAAATCACATGGATGATGCAGATTGGTTCTTTAAGGCGGACGATGACACCTATGCAATAGTGGAGAATTTACGATTTCTACTCTATCCATACTCACCGGAGACACCCATTTATTTTGGTTTTAAATTTAAACCGTTTGTAAAACAGGTAACATTTTGATGTTATAAAAAAACATTTTAATTAATTCAATTTTCCTATTACAGGGCTACATGTCAGGCGGTGCCGGTTATGTTTTGAGCAAAGAAGCTGTGCGACGTTTCGTAGAAAAAGCTATGCCAAATTCAAAAATTTGCAGTCCCAAAAATAGTGGAGCCGAAGATGTTGAAATCGGCAAGTGTTTGGAAAATGTTAATGTCATTGCAGGCGATTCTAGAGACTCACATGCTCGAGGTCGATTCTTCTCATTTATCCCCGAATATCATTTAATACCAAATCATGCGAACAAAAATTATTGGTATTGGAAGTACATATACTACAAAACTGATGAGGTAAATAATATAATGAAAAAGTAGATTCAGATGGAATAGCTAAATTTTTTAAATCAAATATCAAGATGCGGTAAATATTGCTGAGTTGTGCTCGTCTATTTCGTCTAATATTTGATATTTGAATTGTCAGAAATTACAACCCTTTTTCAAAAATACTGTTTTTTATACCCTCCACCATAATATGGAGGGTATATTAAGTTTGTCATTCCGTTTGTAACACCTCGAAATACACATTTTAGTCCCCACAAAGTATATATATTCTTGATCAGCATAAAATTCTATGTCGATTTAGTGATGTCCGTCCGTCTGTCCGTCTGTGGAAATTACTCTATATATTGAATAAACAATTAAACAGCATAGTTTAGAATAACAGAACACAACTTTTGAATTCTTGAAAAATTGTAACTCTAGCATGTTTCAAAATATTTCGTATTTACCGGCAATGTAATGGCCATTTAGCGCTTTACTTCACTTTAATGGATTTGAATAAACCGATTATGTGTTCGCAGCGGATGGCATATAGAGTTCGGCCAGATCGACATCAACACCATTTTTTCTTGTTGTTATGGATTCACTATTTTTATATTTTTTATTAATTCCCCTTCCTTTTCTCTGTTTTCTTATAGGGTCTTAATTGCTGTTCGGATCATGCAATTTCCTTTCATTATATTACACCAACTCGAATGCATCTCCTTGACTATTTTATTTATCATTTGCGACCGTATGGCATCGTCCATCCTCTCGATATATTGCCGAAAAAATTAAAAGTTGGCGAAACTGACCCGCCCCCTGTAGCAGCATTGGACAGTGATGTCGTATAGGCAATATGAGCAGTAATGTAATTTATAGATTAGCCTAAAATTAATTTATACATTTTTAGTTTGTATTTTGAAAAATAAATAGCACACATTTTTTGTAATTTTTATTGTTTACCTTTGAGAATCAAAGGACTGAAAAAATGGAGTTAATAAAAAAAAAAAAAAAAAAACAAGTAAGCAAAGGCTACAGTCGAGCGGGGACGACCGTTGAATACCCTACAACACTATAATAAATGATACAGTTTATATAGGCGAGATACTCGAAAGAATTCCACAAGATATTGTGACAAATAATAAAAGAAAACCATCAGGTTTCGTTCTCTAATTTTCGAATAATAGCAACTTAAACTAATTTGCTCATTTCCAATTTATTGGTAGATGTTGCACGTAAATGGTCTTCCTAGATCTGGAACCAATATTTCCCAAAGACCTATAATCTATCAGAAGTGGCAAAAGATTAACATTTATTATTGGTTTTTGACTAAAACGCACCTATATGAGATACAGACATTTGAATATATTCTTCAACGAAATCAGCCTTAACGAAATAGTCAGAAGTGCGTCTTTCCTGTATTTGCGAATTCTCCAAAAAGTCACTGGAATGGATATTTTCGTATTTTGTCTACAAAAGTTGGCAAACTATTTCACACATTGAATATTTTTGGATGGCCATCCAAAACTATTTAGCTTTTGCAATGGCCGGTAACCTCCATTCAAATGCGCGTGAGGATCGGGCGATAATTACGACTTGCTGACAATTTTGCAGTTTTTTTTTGTCCATTTCAACCCCTAAATTTATGGCTATTATCTCCAAAAAGAGTAGGCTTCTATTCTGACCCTCATCTTATCCCCATTCAAAATTTCATAAGGATCGGGCCATAAATGCGATCTGTATATGATATCCTGATATCCTAACTACTTAGTTTTGTTAGCTGTAGAAATATTACCAAATATTTAATTCAAAATGAAAATATGGCAAAAATATGACAAAATTGAAAAAATATGAGAAAATATTACAAAATCAATATTTTCATCTTTAGAGAGATATTTTTATGCGATTTTTTAGACGTTGTTTCTTTCCTGCCAAGAGGCCATTCTGAATTAATGAGAACTGTCGAAATCAGTTCAGCCGTTCTCGACATATAAGAGATCTTTCAAGCATATCTTCTTTGATAGACATATATATCGCACATATTTTGCTATATATCCGATTTGTTGGATCTTAACATCAATGTAAAGATCAGAAGTAACCTTGTCATGGCTTTGTGATTTCACCGGGATTTAAAATATTCGCGGTTTAATAAAAAATTTTGAATTTTTTCAACAAAAGAGATATGGTCTATTTTACCCGCTAAATATTATCTGATGACCACCCAATTTGGTAGGTTTCTTCCCCGCCCTAAACTCTAGCTACATGCGAAATTCCGCGTCGATTGGTCTATAATTGCGACCTGTATAGCTACTGCAAAATCCGAAATTTTTCAGTATTTGGTCCATTTCAACACCTAAACATTTGGTGATCATCTCCAAAATAGGCTTCTATTCTGACCATAACCCCACCTCCATTCTAAATTTCGTGAAGATCGGGCCATAATTGCGACCTGTAGAGTGATTACAAATTAACATGGACAGACGGACAGACGGACGGGCGGACATACATAGCTAGATCGACTCAGCTCGGCGAGATAGGAAGATCCATATATACTTTCCTATGTGGGAAACCAATATTTCGTGGTGTTACATAATTTTTGGCCCAATCAAACTTATAATACCCCCAACACATAGTGTTGTAGGGTATAAAAATAGATAAAAAAAATCGTTGAAAAATAATTTTAAAATTACCGAAGAGGTGGACCTGCATAGGCAATTGTTGTCAAAGGCCATTACAACATTCAACTTGAAAACATTTTGGTGAACAATGTCACAAAAAAATCAAAACACGAAGGCGTGGATCTGCTAGGACAATTTTTTGTCACCGGCTATGGTACATATTACGAAGAGCAAATTCGAAATTTGACACAATTCCAGTGAATGAGATATCGTTATATGTTGGCTAAAGGAGGACCTGGACCAGCATAGTGAATTTTCTGTTATAGCTAGAAATATCCATTCGGAATTTCAAACACGAAATTTGAAACAATTCCACTGAACAACTTCGCTAAAATCATCAAAATACCGAACATTGGGAGGTACCGTTTTATGGGGGGGCTATTCGAAGACGTGCACCCGCATACGCAATTTTCTGTCACAGGCTATAGTAGGCATTAGGAAGTGCAAACACAAGATTTGAAACAATTCCGGTGAATAATATCGCTAAAATCATCAAAATACCAAATATAGAGATGTACCATTATAAGGGTGCTTTAGGAAGACGTGGACCCGCATAGTCAATTTTCTGTCACAGATGAACTTCAAATACAAAATTTTTAACAATTTCGATGAATAATGCCGCTAAGGTCATCAAAACACCGAATATGGGGGCTATGCCAAAACGTGGACCTATGTAGCCCATTTTCAATACCAAAAGTCCCTCAGAACAAAAACAAATAAAATTTTATAACCTACTTCATTTCGTTCGGAAGCTAGAGTGATTTCCACATATGGACGGACGGATCACAGAGCTAAAGTACCAAAAAGTTTCTTTATGGAAATAAAAATATCAGTAATATTTAGATAGGGGCGTGAAATATGTACTTATAATATGCTTACTTTTAATAGCGGGGTCTTGTTAAATATTAAATGTGGTGAGTTTTTAATAATAACAGTGCCTAAAAGTATGCTCTAAATTTGATTGAACAACAATCATTGACTGATTGTTAGGGCAGGAACTTAGTCCAGTCAAGATAGACATAAAAGAGGCCTTAAATTGTTAACATTTGTACAAAGCTGAAATTTTCTGTGAACTGACCAAACTGTCCGAGTTCGGTCCAACTTCGAACCGAAAGTCGCAAGAAACTTCCAAATTCCATCAGATTTCTGCGCGAAAGTTATATGGAGTGGTTGAAGTGCTGTCGGATCGAAGTTTTAGCCGACTTTCGAACCTATGTTCGGCCGAATATGCATGGAAAATTAGGAAGGGAAGTAAGAACTCTCCCCGCTTTCAGACGGAACTCGGATATAATCTCGTGGAGTTTCGGAAGAAAGATTATATGAAGTTCTGTTGACAAAAGCAAGTAGCAATAACTGTTGACAGTAAATATTTTTGCCACCATCAACCCTCAACTTTATTTGAACACTAATTGTCGAACGCATTTTTCCCCAACAGCCCGAGAACAATTACGCATTTTTTTATCCACAATATGTAAAAATAAAAAATATTAAAAAAAGATGTACTCACTCCATTTATTTTCTTTTTACTAGTTTAAAAAAAGCAGAAGAAAAAAATTCTACAAAAAGAGATAAAATTGTCAAAATTCGAACAAAATATCAGAATTCGGTCATACGTTGCACAGTGGGGTGAGATCCCCAATAACGGATATTAATTAATTCTATCGCTCTGAAATTTTATTCAGACATTTTTACTACCCCTAGTATGTTTGGTATTAAAAATGGGACATATCGTTTGGGTAAGGCCCCCATCTAACATTACTTCCCGCTTTCCGGTAGTTTGAAGGTTTCAGCCACAATTTCAAACCAAATCATGATTAACTTGATATTTTGAGTTCTGGGCTGACAAAATCTCTCCCTCCCTAAGTCCATCATATACCTATACATACAGGGTCAGATGAAAAAACTGAAATGAACTTCAGACTGCTGTTATTATAACCCACTCATCCGACAGCTGTTAAAATTATTCAATTGACAGCTCATTATATGGTTTACAATCATACAAAAGCATTTTGGTGAGAATTTCCCAGAAAAAAAGTTATTCGTCATGGAATTCAGGCGTGATAGTGTGATTTATTTTTATTTGGCTTGAAAACCACAAGTGCTTCAACGATCAGTCCAGCATTTAAATGTGAATAAATCTTTTGTGTCTCGTACCATCGCTCGTTACCGTGATACTGGTAGCGTAGCCCGACATCAAGGAAGTGGACGGAAGAAATCAGCAACACCAGTAGAAATGGTTCGAAAAATAAAGAAGCGACTTGATCGAAAGCCGCGTCGCAGTGGCCGAAAAATGGCTCGTGAGCTGAACATATCTCAATATTCCATTCGGAAAATATTGAAAAATGAGCTCGGGGTAAAGCCATTGAAATTCCAAAAAGTGCAAGAACTTACACCGCAACGGAAAGAAAATAGACTTAAAAGAGCTAAAGAGTTGTTTCGCTTGGCCGAAAGTGGTGAACTGCCGAATCTAGTTTTCTCCGATGAGAAAACATTTGTTGTCCAGCAGTTTGTAAACAAACAAAATGGTCGTGTATACTTGTCAAAGAGGTCAGCTAAAAATGTGCAACTTCGGTTGGCCAACAAAACTCAAGTGCCGCCATAACAGCCGATGGCCGCTCTCCGCTCGTATTAATCGACCGTGGCATCAGAATAAATGCCTAATATTAGCGAAAATATTCTGGAGAGTGTATTAAAGCCTTGGGCATGCAAACATTTTGGCCGCAGACCTTGGACATTCCAACAGGATTCAGCACTATCGCACTCAGCACGCGCAACCCAAGAATGGTTAAAAATAAAGGTTGCTCGCTTCATTTCCAGCGCACAAATACCACCAAAATCTCTGGATACCAATCCGTTGGACTATTTTGTCTGGAGTATCTTGGAAAGCAAGGTTGTCACTAAAAATACCAAAGTGGCGATCACCTCAATCAAGCGTTTAGCCGGTAATTTTAGCCCAAATACCGCAGTGCAACATTCGGGCAGCGTGTGACGGTTTCATTTGCCGTTTGAAGGCCATAATTCGTGCCAAAGGTGACCAAATCGAACAAATCTAAACTTATTGTAAAATGTAATGCTTTTTCCGACATTTTTGCTTTCATTCAATAAAATTAAAAAAAAACATGTAAAAATTATGGCATTTGATTTTGTTGCAGTTCTTTATCTCACCCTGTATGTCTATGTGCATTTGTTTGTAACAGAAAAAGGGCTAAACAATAATTAGTTGGGTTATTTCTCTGGGTACCCATAACAGAACGCAAATTTTTCGTTAAGGGGAATACCATTGTGGAATTGCGTTCATTTATGTATACAGTGCAATGGCTATTAAAGCTGTGAATCATCTATTTTTTAAGATCGAATAAATGCTTCACATCCAGGTAAACTTCATCCATACCATGCCTAGAAAGGATATGGTATAATAAAATGGTACATTAAAATGGTACAGTAACTTGGTATGGTACGTTTTTCCCGCTTTTTAATCCATTTTTAAGAAGAGAAATAGGAACAGCTTGTTTCATATAATTTTGAAACATTTGGACAGGAATCTGTATTTCAGCAGTTAAACTAACCTGCTTTACCTCCTAATTGTACCATGTAGATAGGGTATCTGGTACTAAGGTTTGGATACAGTTACGGTGCTTGACCTTAAAAGCATATCCCTTCAAATATAGGTTTCACTTGCCATCAGCCATTTTTAGCTACTGTGTAAATGAAATGAGCTCGATATATAACCTAAACTTTGCAATCATCAGTGCCAAACTTTCCTTTGACCAAAAATCAACTTTTGCAACAAAATAAGCTATTGGAACAATACGGTTCTGTGTCTACTTTGCATTACAACTACTTACATAAAAATAAATTTTCAGTAATGAGGTGTGCTTTGAAATTGTTTTTAAAACATCTTTTTTGGGCTACCAAAACTAAAAAAATAAAGTTTGAACAATTAAAAAATTAAAAAGTTATAGAATTGATTTTAAAAAGAAGCTGATTTGTTAAAAACGTTAGCTGAATATAAAAATTGGAGATTTGGATCATGTTAGCAAGTTTCAATTACCACAAATAAAAATTTAGCCATCTTTCGAAATTTTTATTATCATAACCAGCAAATACCATAATTGGATCAATCAATAGCCATTTGTTGTTGGACAATTATCAACGCAACTAAGATGGGATTGAACTCATAAGGAGTAAACGATAAGAAATCGTATTTTACTAAAATCCACTAATTACGCAGCCCACATTGTTTTGTACGCTCACTAGGGGATTTCTACCCACATTCGGTAAGTTAATTTTAATATTTCATAATTTCAGATACAGCTGATCCACAAGCGCTTCTTGATGCATAAACACAATTATGCTTATAAATATTCTTTAGAAATATTTTATGCCCTTCAGATTCATAGTATGTTTTCGTTTGTAGCTCATCGAAATAATCATTTAATACACAACAAAGATCAAGGTTAACATTCTAAGTTGATTGAGCCATTTCCGTCCGTCCGTCTATTGTAATCACGCTAGACTCACTTAACTTAAAAGTGAAAATTATGTGTTCGTGTCATATCCAATCCGGGTAAAAATCTACCTTTATATTACATTTTTTGGCGAAAGTGTCAAAGTAAGGATTATTCTAGATCAAATTTCATTGTAAGTCTCTGAACAGATTAATTAATTATTTCTGCAAAATTTTAAAATTTTCCTCAATTTGCAGCAAATTTTCCTTTAATTCCACTGTACAATAGCCAGTCTGGGTTGAGGAAAATGCCAAGTGGACTTGATAGCATTTGTTTTTTTGGTCCAACCCCCAAAGGAGTATTGGGTTCTTTGGCCAAAAATTGTTAGGGGCCTTATATAGTTTTGACAATATACAAAGGGGCCCCCACAGTTTAAGATATACTTCGTAATATTTAGGATAAGCTTTGAAATTTGATACAGATTTTTGGATGCATACAATTATTGGTACAGAAAATAAGTCATATCGGTCAACTTTTTGAAATAGTCGGCTTTGATTTTTTGAAATATAGCATTTTCAGATTAAATGAAACCTTTTGCAATTCAAATGAAGCTTTTTGCAGTGGAATTGAAACCCTTTGCAGTGGAAATGAAACCTTTTGCAGTGGAAATGAAACCTTTTGCAGCGGAAATGAAACCTTTTGCAACCGAAATGAAACCATTTGCAACCGAAATGAAACTTTTTGCAAATCAAATGAAACTTTTAGATTTTTAGAAGGAAAAATAACAAAACATTTTTATTTTTAGTAGTTTTTAAATCAAATCAATTAATTATAACTAATATATTGACAAAGAGGATTTTTTATTGATTATAAATATCTACATTTATTTATATTATTTCTTAAAATTTCAATTATCGTAATAACAAATGGTTCTTTATTGATTTGATATAAAATGCTTCCATATTATTGAATTCCAAATGCTTAAGGCTAAAAAGAGAAATTTAAACAAATTTTGGCCTTTATAGGTATGGGCAGGACTGAAATGTGAAATTAAGCTTTACCACAATTTTTTATAGTTATAGTATACTATTAATCTTACCTAATAAAGGATTCCCGCTTCGCAGCTTTATTGATTATGGAGATAGAGCAGTCGTGATTTCCATAGACAGATAAGTGGAAATCATTAAATCAACTATGATCATGATTGTACATACTTTATGGGGTCTACGACGAATATTTAGAGGTGTTACAAACCGAATGACAAATTTAATATATCCTCTTTTCCATGGAGGAGATTATAAAAAGGTACCTAATTCGGGTCCTTTGAAAAAAATACCTTGAAAAACTTTTTTCAATCTTTCTGCATCCACACTTGTGTTTTATGGAAGCTTTAAGAAAAAAATTTATAAAAACATAGTTATTAATAATCAATAAAAATTCCTCTTTAACTATATATTAGTTATAATTAGTTGATTTAATATTAAACATACTAAAAATAAAAATGTTTTGTTATTTTTCCTTCTAAAAATCTAAAAGTTTCATTTGATTTGCAAAAAGTTTCATTTCGGTTGCAAAAGGTTTCATTTCCGCTGCAAACGGTTTCATTCCCGCTGCAAAAGGTTTCATTTCCACTGCAAAAGGTTTTATTTCCACTGCAAACGGTTTCAATTCCACTGCAAAAGGTTTCATTCCCGCTGCAAAAAGTTTCATTTGATTTGCAAAAGGTTTCATTTAATCTGAAAATGCTATAGATAACTTCGATTTCAAGTATAATGTGTTGGCCATGTTTTCCATAGAATTTTATTTTGGTATAGTCCCCATGTAACGGTATCTCCCATTATTCGGTATTTTGATGGTTTCTGTCACATTTTTTTTTCACGGATTTGTATAAAAAATGGTATTTGTTGGTCAAAATACGTTCTGGCTCGGGTGGCGAAACATTGTATTTATAGAACCACGTTTTGGTATAGATCCCATATAACAGTACCTCTCGTCGATTGTCGATTTATCAATGTACGTCCGTCTGTGGAAATCACTCTAGCTTCTGAACGAAATGAAGTAGGTTGATAAAATTTTACTCAAATATGTACTATGTCTGCAGGACTTTTGGTATTGAAAATGGGCCATGTAGGTCCTTCGTATAGCCCCCATATAACGGTAACTCCCGATATGCGGTATTTTGATCATTCTAGCGACATTTTTTACCGGAATTGTTTCAAAATTAATATTTAAAGTTCGTAATATATGCTACGGTTTAAGACAGAAAATTGTCTGTGCAGGTCCACGTCTTTGTAGACCCCCCATATAACGGTACCTCCCGATATTCGGTATTTTGATTTTATCGACATTACATTGAATATTGTAATGGCTTATGACAAATGTTACCTACGCAGGTTCATGTCGTCGTATAGACCCTAATATAATAGCCATATTCGGTATTTTTAAGATTTTAACAGAATTTTTAATGGATTTTATTGTTTTTGAGAATTGCCAAATTCGTTCAAATGGTGGAGGGTATTCAAAGTTCGGTCCGGCCGAACATATAGCTATTTTACTCGTTTTTTTCTTACGGGTAATGAATAGCAGATTTTTTTGGATACTTGTAATGCAGATGTTAGGTGGTTGCCAGTAGTAGAATCAAAAATTGGCCCACCAATTTTTTGCTGGGTTGGAACATTCTAAACTCTCCCTCTATCATGGTTCGATTTGTAATGCGGGGTGAACATGTACTAACTAACCAAATCAACACCTTAATCCAACACTTAACGGAGAAAACAAAAACAGTCATTTAAATAGTTTGTGTAAATCACAGCATGTTTAATTTTTTACTATTGTCTAATTTAAATATTATTTATCTAAAGTTAATTATAATGGATTATCCGACACTTCATTCCGCCATTTATCGAGTAGCTCATCCATATTGTGCTTCGGTGGTAGTTCCAAATAAGTCGGTAATATACCGAATGGTTTCAATTGATATATTAAATAGTCCATGACATACATCTGATCTGGCTGGACGTAATGGAATGATATGGCATAGTTGGAGCAGCAATCAAGACCCTAGGAAGAGGAAAAACGACACCATTATTATTATCGATTGTATTTGAATTTATATTTTCTATACTTACATCATTGGTTTTGTAGAATATGTAACGCCAATACCAACTAGTTTTATCCTTGGGCTTAAGATGACCCGATGGTTGGGTTGGAAAGAAACGTCCTCGGAGCAGCTCATCGCGTGAGTCGCCAGCTACTACGCCCACATTTTGCAGACACCTACCCATTTCGGCATCTTCGGAACCGCCCAGACCTTTGCGGCATATCATGCGATTGTTGTGGCCCAATTCAACGAAACGTTTGAGGGCAGTTCTGCTAAGGACATAACCAGCACCGCCAGACATGTAACCCTACCAAACACAAATTATATATAACTGGCATTTAAAAAACGGCTAAGAAATAAAAACTCACCTGTCGGACATGGGGTTTAAATTTACAGCCAAAGTAAACTGGGGCATCCTTTGACATGGGATATAAAAATAATCTCAAATTTTCCACAATCACATACCTAGAGAGAGAATAATAACAAATATTTATTATGAAAAAATCGGAAATCTTCTCATTAACTCACGTATCATCATCGGCCTTCAGAAACCAATCGTATTCATCCAAATAATGTTCATAAACATATTTAAAGGCCTCTCGAGTTTTATTCCACAGTTTTCCTCTTCCCTCACCCACACCGGGTAGTTTGACTGCACCCAGCTCTTCATCCTCCTGAGAGCTCATGAACAACAACTTGTTACAGCGTGAACCCCAGGTATTCTTAATGTGAATGGCTTTCTTTTGATGATTTGCCGGACCCGTAAGGATCCAACACAGGACTTTTACTTCGTCATATAACTTATCAGCAATTGTCGTATTGACTTCATAGTAACGATAATCATTGACAACAGTTTCCTTAATGCTATGATTTTGATTCGTATCCCGTATTATTGATTCCTCTTCTTGTCCATTATCTTCTCGGGGATTACGCGATATTACATCATGGTCCAAAACTTCATTTACATAATTATCGGTTGACTCCTCTTCATGTCCTTCGTCGTCTTCTTTTATTTCTTGACCTGGATTTGATTGCGTCCACAGATCCTGATATCTCACCGTATTGGCTATATTGGGTATTTCATATTTGGATGTATCCGTTACTTGCGAGAAGGTGAAGCCAATTGCTATTCCTATCATCAAAGTAACGAAGAGTTTTAGATTCGAAACTCCGCCTTGACTATACATGGTGATGCGTGAGAATAATTTTGTGTAGCCAGCTAAAATATGTCCTCATGCTGTAGACGAGATTCTGAAAAGTAAAATAAAAATATTTAAAGTTTACAAATTTTGAGTTTAAGTTTACAAATTTTGAAATAGCAATTATTTCATCCTGAAGTTATAGATCTCAGAATATAAGAGCTTAAGGAGTCAAATTTTATGGGAATCGAATTCCTTAATAGTGGTTTTTGACATCTGTCTAAAAACATAAAAGAATGGAGTGATGACTGAGTGATTGGAAAACGGATTCATCAATGCACAGGCGAAACGGCTCACAGTGGGGTGATATCCGCGGACATTAATACGGGGAAGCTTTCTATTTCTCAGTGGATAAAAACTATAAAAATTGCCAATATAAAACCACCTCAATGATAGTTCTCTGCAGGACCAAAAGGATTAGATTCCAAAAATCAGATATAATAAATAAATAATTTCATTATTACCATTCATATGTCATAGGTTTATATTTTTTATACCCTCCACCATACATGGTATGGAGAGTATATTAAGTTCGTCATTCCGTTTGTAATTCATCGAAATAATAATCCGTCTGTCTGTTGTAATCACGCTACAGTCAAAACAAAAAGCTAAATTTTGCACAGTTCTGTATTTTGTCTGCAGGCAGGTCAAGATCGACGGTGGGCTATATCGGTCTATGATATCGTATAGCCCCCATATAACGGTACCACCCGATATTCGGTGTTTGATGATTTTAGCCACATGGGATTGGGATGGAATGGGATTGTCTGAAATTCTACACCAGGAGCTCCTTTTGAGTACATTACCCCCCGAAGAGAATTTTCTATGTACAGAGTGAGATAAAATAACTGCAACCAATTTCAGACTGCTGTCATTTCAAAGTCACTCGTTCGACAGCTGTTAAAACTATTTCAGTGACAGCTTATTATACAAAAGCATTTTGGTGAGAATTTTCCAAAAAAAAGTTATTCGTGATGGAATTCTAGCGTGATGGTGTGATTTCTTTATATTTGGCTGGAAATCACAAGGGGCTATCGTTATAGCACTCCAGCATTTAAATGTAAATACATTTTTAATGTCTCGTACAATCGCTCGTTACCGTGACACTGGTAGCGTAGCCCGACATCAAGGAAATGGACGGAAGAAAACGGCGAAATCAGCAGAAATGGTTCGAAAAGTAAAGAAGCGACTTGATCGAAATCCGCGTCGCAGTGGCCGAAAAATGGCTCGTGAGCTAAACATATCGCAATATTCTGTTCGGCAAATATTGAAAAATGAGCTCGGGGTAAAGCCATTGAAATTCCAAAAAGTGCAAGAACTTACACCGCAACAGAAAGAAACACCGCAACAGAAAAAAGAGTTGCTTCGCTTGGCCGAAAGTGGTGAACTGCCGAATTTGGTTTTCTCCGATGAGAAAACATTCCGTGTTCAGCAATTTGTAAACAAACAAAATGATCGTGTTTACTTGCCAAAGAGGTCAGCTGAAAATGTGCACCTTCGTTGGTCACCAGAACTCAAGCGCCGGCCATGGTGATGGTGTGGGCCGCCATAACAGCCGATGGTCGCTCTCCGCTCGTATTAATCGACCGTGACATCAGAATAAATGACGAATATTATCGCGAAAATATTCTGGAGGGTGTATTAAAGCCTTGGGCATGCAAACACTTTGGCCCCAGACATTTTACATTCCAACAGAACTCAGCACCATCGCCCTCAGCACGCGCCACCCAAAAATGGTAACAAAATTAGGTTCCTCGCACAATGACCACCACAATCTCCGGATACCAATCCGTTGGACTATTGTGCCTGGAGTATTTTGGAAAGCAAGGTTGTCACTAAAAAATACCAAAGTGTCGATCAAATAAAGCAAGCGCTTCGCGGGAATGACGGTGTGACGGTTTCATTGGCCATTTGAAGGCCATAATTCATGCCAAAGTTGACCAATCGAATAAATCTAAACTTATTCTAAAAATTTGATGCTGTTTCCGACATTTTTTGCTTTCATTCAATAAAATGTTAAAAACAAATGTAAAAATTATTGCGTTTGACTTTGTTGCAGCTTTTCTTATCTCATCCTGTATATTCTTCATCAGCATAAAATTCTATGTCGATTAAGAGATGTCCGTCCCTCTGTCCGTCTATCCGTCTGTGGAAATTACTCTAGCTTCCAAACGAAATGAAGTAAGTTTATTAAATTTTAACTCAAATGTATATTTTGTCCGCATGACTTTTGGTATTGAAAACGGGCCACATTTCGTTGTAGCCCCATGCAATGATACCTCCTTATTTCCATATTTTTGTGATTTAAGCGACATTATTCACCGGAAATGTTCAAAATTTGGTAGTTGAAGTTCGTAATAGATACTATAGCCTATGACAGAAAATTGTTCGTGCAGGTCTACGCCTCCGCACAGTCCACATATAACGGTACCTCCTGATATTCGGTATTTTGATGATTTTAGAGACATTTCTTACCAGAATAGTTTCAAATTTGGTATTTGGAATTCGTAATGGATACTACAGCCTATGGCAGAAAATTGTCTGTGCAGGTCCACGTCTTCGTTTAGCCCCAATAAAGCGGTACCTCCGTATATTTGGTATTTTTATGATTTTAGCTGCATTATTCACCGATTTTTTTTAAGTTTCGCATTTGAATATTGTATATATTAATGGTTTATGACAAAAGTTGCCACGTATAGACCCTAATATAAAGGCTCCATTCGGTATTTTTAAGATTTTAACAGAATTTTTAACAGATTTTATTTTTTTTTTAAATTGCCAAATTGGTTCCAAATGGTGGAGGGTATTCAAATATGGGCCCGGCGAAATTACAGCTTTTTTACTTGTTTTAATTAATATTTTTTAGTAATATTCATGATTTTGCTAAAGACCTTGAAAATATTACGATGACTGCTACTCCTGCAATTTTAAAATTGGCGGAATACTGTACGGGCAGTTATAATTCATGCGCACTTCGTTTATCAAATTTAAAAAAAAAACAAGTAAAAAAGCAGTAAGTTCGGCCGGGCCGAACTTTGAATACCCTCCACCATTTGGAACGAATTAGAAAATTTTCAAAAAAATAAAATCCAATAAAAATTCTTTTAAAATCTTTAAAATATCTAATATAGGAAGGTGCCGATATATGGGGGGATATACGATATTGTGGACCTATAAAGACAAATCTATATCTGCGTGTAAAGTACTCACAAGGAACTCCGTGTGTGGATTTTCAGACAATACGATTGGAAAATGTGGCTAAAATCATCAAAATACCGAATATCGCGGGGTACCGATATATGGGAGCTATACGTTATCGTTAACCTATATAGCGAATTCTCTGTCGGTGGGTAAAGTGCTCACAAAGAACCCCTTGTGTACAAAGAACCCCTTGTGATCATTCCGTTGAAAAAAATGGCTAAAAACATCAAAATACCGAACATCGGAGGTACCGTTATATGAGGGTATACAATATCGTGGATCTATATAAATAATTCTCTGCCGGGGTATAAAGTACCCACAAGGAACTCCTTGTGTGGATTTTCAGACAATTCCGATGAAAAATGTGGGTCAAATCATAAAATACCGAATATCGGGAGTTACCGTTATATGGGGGATATACGATATCGTGGACCTGTATAGACAATTCTCTCTCAGGGGGTGAAGTACTCACAAGGAACTACTTGTGTTGATTTTAAGACAATTCCATTGAAAAGCGTGGCTAACATCATCAAAATACCGAATATCGGAGGTTACAGTTATATGGGGGATATACGATATCGTGGACCTATATAGACACTTCATTTTGAGGAGGTAAAATGCCCACAAGGGACTCCTTTTGTGGATTTTCAGACAATTCCGTTGAAAAATGTGGGTAAAATCATCAAAAACCAAATATCGGGGGGTACCGTTATATGGGGGCTATACGATATTGTGGACCTATATAGATAATTCTCTGCCGAGGTATAAAGTACCCACAAGGAACTCCTTGTGTGGATTTTCAGACAATTCCGTTGAAAAATGTGTGTAAAATCAGCAAAATACCGAATATCGGGGGGTACCGTTATATGGGGGCTATACGATATTGTGGACCCATATATATGTAATTCTCTGCCGAGGTATAAAGTACCCACAAGGAACTCCTTGTGTGGATTTTCAGACAATTCCGTTCAAAAATGTGGGTAAAATCTTCAAAATACCGAATATCGGGGGGTACCGTTATATGGGGGCTATACGATATTGTGGACCTATATAGATAATTCTCTGCCGAGGTATAAAGTACCCACAAGGAACTCCTTGTGTGGATTTTCAGACAATTCCGTTGAAAAATGTGGGTAAAATCATCAAAATACCGAATATCGGGGGGTACCGTTATATGGGGGCTATACGATATCGTGGACCGATATAGCCCATCTTCGAACTTGACCTGCCTGCAGACAAAAGAGAGATCTGTGCAAAATTTTAGCTTCCTATCTTAATTCGTTTAGACTGTAGCGTGATTACAACAGACGGACAGACGGACAGACGGACGGACAGGGCTAAATCGTCTTAGAATTTTACGCTGATCAAGAATATATATACTTTGTTGGGTCTAAAATGATTATTTCGATGAGTTACAAACGGAATGACAAAGTTAATATACCCTCCATACCTTTTTTGGTGGAGGGTATAAAAAAATTTTTTAGGAGTCTTTCTTGGGCGTACATTATAAGGATGGCTCCGTGTAATAGCACAGCTTTAAATGAGTCTTATCAAACTCCAAGTTATTTCAAGCTCATTTTGTTAAATATAATTGTTGTTTACATCTTCTTACAAAAAAAAAATAAAAATAAAAACGAAATCACCAACCATCCGAAAATTAAAAAAATAACAACTATGCGGAATTCAATATTTACACTTGGTGTGAGGTAATAATCACTCAGCATCATCCACAAAAGTGGTAGCAGAAATTATCTTACAAATTCCATTGGTCATATTGCCAACAGCCAAATGTTACCCGAAGATGTGCATCCAGTTTAGCTTCGGCTGGCTGACCTTTAATGGTACAGCATA